AAAACCAAAAAAAACCGCTGTGTTCTCGTCAAATGGCAAAGTACCTGCTAATGACACTGACTTTATTTCCAACAGGGGCAAGCAGGTCTGCCTGGAGAGAGGGGCATTAAGGGATTTCCTGTAAGTGCTGCGCTCCAGGGTGGGTGCCAGGCTCAGGTGGGGTCGGGGCTGGCGCTGTGGGTGCCACTGGAGCTGGTTCAGCGCTCAACTCCAGCTCAGACATTTGTTCTGCTCACCCTCACCCTAACGGGTCCCTCTGCACATAAAACATCCCAGGATGTGAAGCTGATGTGGCCAGGAGGGTTTCACCCCATCAGGGGGCTGTGCTTTGCTGCAGGTGCCTCTGGCCAAAGTGGGCACTCAAAGCCCTCCCGGGCCCTGGGGGTTCCTGGCAGTGCTGTCACAAAAAAATGTGGGGAAAGCAAAAACTCTCCAACAACATTTTAATGTTAGGGAATCAAGGCATTGCTTTATTTTCTGGCCAGGATGTTGTTCTGGACAGGATGTGCCACAGAAATAATTTCATCCACGGATAGCCCGGGTGTGTAGAGAAAGATCATTCCATGGCACATCACTTTTACAAGATTTATTCCCAAATTTTATACAATCAAAACTCAGACAGCTTTATTGGTTTATTGTTGATTGGTCCAACGTTTCGCAGTTCTCAGGATTTGGGTTCCTATTGGATCTGGATTTCTTCCTCTCTGATGTTAATTAGGTTTTCATTCTTATTTTTCTTTTTCCAGACCAGGTGTCTGACCAGCCAGGGGGGAGGTTTGGGGCTGATATTCCCTTAATGACCGTGGATGGTCACTGATGGTCTTTGATGGCCACTGATTGCCACTGATGGTCACTGATGGTCACCGATGGTCCTTATCTTTTGTGCCACTGCCTCTGTTGAGATGTTCACTTCATCAGGCCTCACCTGGTGCAACAATGCTCTGGAAAGAAACTTTAGCACCCTTCCCCCAGGGCAAAAGCAAACAGGATCTTTGAAGCTAAACAAAAACTTTTTAAACTTGTATATTTTCCAACACTGCCAGACCCCAAAGGTGGTGACAGCTAAAGACCCCAAAATCCATCAGTTGCTCCCAGCTCCCTCCTGCACCCTGACCTACTGTTGGCTTGGAAGGTAGTTTTAAATTATGACATTAAATAGGGGATAAAAGGGTTTTGCTWCGGTATTTAATGGGATTCTAGGTGCACAGATTGATGGACATGTACACCATGTACAGCATGTGTACAAGTTTTATAGATTTTATAAATTAATGTATTTATTTAGAATTTTCTAATAAGAAACTTAACAAATTAAGTAATATTTTTTAATTTTAAAGACTTATTTTTCTAGATGAATTTTTTTTAGATGAAAAATGATTATTTTTCTAGAGTTTATAACATGTTTTCAAGAGAAGGCTTCAACCAAGGTTGGATCTTCAGGTTTTAACATAGCACAGGGCACRCTGACTCTGTACTGAGGGTGTTTGGTCTTTCTGCCTGGCACAACTCTTAAACTAAGCTGGAATATCAAATTACAAGGATTATAAACAGGTTAAGGGTACAGGGATACACAAAGGCTACAGAAAATGTCTAAAGGGGGTATAGAAAATATATAAAAGGGTATGTAAAAATAAAAGGCAAAAATCATTAGGCATCACTGCCAGGCTGAGCTGGAAACCCCCCATAAGCAGAGCAAGAGATGTCTCCAAATGATTTTTTGGCAAAACCTGAACAGATGCACAGGGGAGATGTCTGCCCTGGCACATCTGGCCAGTGCAAACAARCCACTGGTGAGGAAGGTTGGCTGACAGAGATACAGTGGAGAAAATTGGGGTTTTTTTTGGCTGGCAGCTTCCAGAGAGATCCCAGAGCTTCTGGTTGGATTCTCATCTCTTTTCTTTGGTTCCACCTCGTAATTTCATACAATTCACACAACCTTTCCTCTGGCCCTTCCTCCCCTGCTCACCCCTACTTTGCAAATTCCTCCGGGATGTCCAGCAAGTTTGAGCAGCCCAAGCCTTTCCACTCTGATTTGTATTGGTTTATGTTTAGTTTAGAGTGGTTTATCCTCTTCCTGTCATCTGCTCTTTGGAAGGTGCTTGAACTTCCTGGCTTGGGGGGGAAATACGAGACCAATGTCCACAGCACAGAGGGACCTTTGCTCAGGAAAAGCTAAATGAGCATCCTCAGAGGCAGAAAGTGATGTAACTAATTAATGGAAGCACAATGGAGGATTTTTCATGTTTTAAATCAGGCTGAAAATGTGCATGTTTGGGGGAAAGGAGCAACATACCTGTGGTTTGGCCTAAAATGTTGTTCACTGAGAGCCCAGTGAGATGTCTATGGCCTTGCTGGGGCCCAGRCCATGGCAGCTTGGCCACCCTTGGGCAAGTTCATCCCTATTGGAAGCGGTGGTGACCTCCTGGGAAGATGGCAGGAGCCAGGGCACARCTCAGGAGGTCACATTGGCGCGTTGGTTTTGTGACAATCCATTTGTTTCCTACGGGTGAAATGCTGCTGTAATTTGCTCCTTTGCAGGGGGAGGGATCCAGGGGATCCTGGAGGGGTTCTCAGCCTCATGGAACCACATTTCCCTTTCTCTGTTTCAGGGTGAGCCAGGCAGGAAGGGTGAGGAAGGTGACAAAGGCGCTGATGTAAGGATGTRTTTCTGCTGTTTTATTTTCCTTTTTGTCACTTTGCTGTCCTCCAGCCACATTCCCTTTGGCAGGTGGATTTGGGGGGTCAGGGGGCAAGTCCAGGTTAAAAGTGCAGAGCAGGCAGTGATGGGAACCTTGGGTTTGGATTTAACACATGCAGAAATCCTGGCCTGTGATGTTTCCTTGGCCAGGTCCTCACCATACTCTCAGAGAGCCTCAGTCTCCAGAGGTTCTGCCACCAGGAGCTGGCTGGGAATTGCTCCCCCATGTCCCTCCCCAATGCTGAGGGACAGATTCCCAGAAGGGACCAAACTGCACATGCAGAGCACTGGAGTTCTCACACCTCTCCTCTGTCCCTGAAATACTTCCCAGCATCTCTTTGTCCCTTCCAGCCCTTCCCTGAGGTGACAGGGACAACAGGCTGAAGGCTGAGTGCACACGACGAGCTCTTGGAACAGGGATTTCTCCTGTACTCTTGCTGAGGTTTTCTCCTCTTTCACATACGTTTCTTTTTAAACATCCACACTGCAGAGTTTGGTGCTAAGCAAAATTATAAACAAGAAGTCAATTCTGTATCATACTCCAAAGTTGGTTTTCTTTTCTTTCCTGCAGGGGGAAGGTGTCCAACAGCTCCGAGAGGCTCTGAAGATTTTAGCTGAGAGGGTGTTGATCCTCGAGCACATGATAGGAATTCACGGTAAGGGCTGCTGAGGTTTCCTTCCCTGCTTTCCTTCCCCGCTCAGGTTTGGTGGTTACACATCCTCCCACTCCCCTGAGCTCTCTGGTGTCTGTTCAAGCCACATTTTCCAAACTAGGTACCCACCATGAGTGTTGGGTGCTTGGAGCTGTTGAGGACTGGACTTCCACCAGCTGTGCTCCTTCCTCTGGCTCTCCAGGAGCAGGTGAAGTGACCCTGACGGGGATTTTTGTTACAGCTCAGGCAGCCAAGTCACGAGCAGCAGCTCAAGCCATGTGGCACAGATCCCTGCCCAGCTTCCCACAGAGCTGCCTGCTCAGGTCCTTGGGCCAGACCATTTAATCCTGTTAACAGCACCTTCCCAGTGCCCTGAGCACTGCTGAGCCTTGGCCTTGTGCAGAGAAAGCCCAAACAGTGCTGCCACAGCACCGTGAAAATCAGTGATCCCTCAACATTTTGTGGTTGTAACTTAGATGAAACCTATTTTCACAGTCAGGTTTAAAGAAAGTCTCACATGTTCCACATTCAGACAGATTTTTGTGGTTTCTTGAGGCTGTTGGCTCTCCCATCACTGGTACAGTGTGTGCATCATCCCTGAAAGAGTATTCTCACCCCTGAACCACAGTGGTAATGGTCACACATGTTGGTTATGGTCACAGGTGTTGGCTATGGTCACAGGGGTTGGTCACAGGGGCTGGTTATGGTCACAGGTGTTGGTCACAGGGGTTGGTGTCTCCGTTTGAGACAATGTTTTCAGAGAAAAAAAATGTTACAGAGTAAGTGTTTCTGCTGAAGTGAAAAATTTGATAATTTTTTTCCCACCAATATGAAATAGATGTTCGGGCAAAAGTGAAGAGAGGAAAACAAAAGTTTATTAACAAAACACAATGCCCACTAGGACACAGATAAAAAGTAACTGTTAGATATTTAAAACTCAGGAACACATGCTGCCCCCTCCTCCCACAAGCCACTCAGCCATGTGGTGCAAAGAAAAGATGGTGGCTCCTGTCCCCGGGGAAAAAAAAGAAATAAAAGAAAAAAAGTCCATGTGACCGCTCTGCAACAGTGGCAAAACCTGGAGCAGTCCTCTCCTTACGGTGGATGAAACAGAGGGCTCTGTGTACTTTTCCATCTCTGGCTTGGCTTCTTTTGGAGTCCGGGACAAGACAGACCAGCGCGGCTTCTCCCTGCTGGCCACCAAATTGCTCCAGAAGCAGAATCACACGAGTTAGAGATGGGGTGGTGGTCCCGGGAAAGCTGTTTGCCCAAGCTACCAGTTTTTAGCTAAACTTAAGCTAGCTAAATGGCAACAATGTTACTCCACAGCACACCGTGAGCAGACCTCCCAGAGCGCTGAGCTGAGGTCCAAAAGCCCCTGGCTGCACGGCAGCCTCGGCTTTTAAACTGGCCGCGCTGCCCCTGTCCCTTCTTCCGGGTTGGGTTTAAAGGCACAGACACCTTTTAGGCATACAAGCTGACGGAGTATAGGAATACAGGATTGGCACAAAATCAATCCAAGACAGTTGGTCACAGGAGTTGGTTATGGTCACAGGGGTTGGTTATGGTCACAGGTGTTGGCCACAGGAGTTGGTCACAGGGGTGGGTCACAGGGGTTGGTAAAAGGGATTGGTCACAGGGCTTGAGAATGGTCAGATTTGTCCCTCTGGGGTACCTGAGCACCAACACAGCTGCCAGGAGTTGCKGTACCAGCCTCTCCACTTCCGGAAGCACAGCAGAGGCACAGGTTTGGCTGTGCTATCCCAGCCTGGGAGCAGCAAACTGTCCCTYGGCACTGACCAACCCCAGAGCCCTTTTCTGTCTGTGACCCATGAAACTTCACTGCTGGGCCTTGCTTGTGAGTCCACCTCACACCTCCCCTCAGATCAACACCCACTTTTATTGGGAAGTARTTTTTGGATATTGATTTAGGCGATRAAAATGCTAAATACCTGAAATGCCCATCGGTCCTGGAAATGCCTTACTCACAGGACTGGACACACCACAGGGGTCCAGCACCTCCAGATGCCTCCATCCCCGTTAGGAGCCAGCAGTGCCCAGCTGGAATTGCTGCTGGACATTCCCAGTGCCAGGGCATGGCTGGCCAGGAGCCTGCTCTGCTCTGCTCTGCTCTGCTCTGCTCTGCTTGGTGGCCTTGTGCTCCTGGAGGCCCCAAGAGCTGTTCCCAAAAGCAATAGGCAGCAGCAGCACAAGATTTTTGGGAAAACATGAATCACAACCCCATGACTGAACCGCACTCACCCTGACCTTAACTCTGCTCTAATCCTGCCTCACTTTGTATTTTCACTGGGTTTTATACACCAAGGGCAGGAAAATGTGGTTTTAATGTGTTTTCATCGTGCTTTCCCTTGAGCTGGTGGAGGTACCGGGGAGATGCCCACTGGATTTCTGAGGCAGCAACCCATGGAACATCCTGGGATGTTTTCCAGGGAAGAGGGAAAGGAAACCCCATCCATAAGCACAGTGCAGGGTATTTACAGGTCCCGGGGCCCAGCCCTCCTTTGGCTTTGCTTTGTACCTTCATTTACAGTGGTATAAAACACAAAAGTGTCTCCTGAGGAACCTCCTGTGCACCCTGGGGCTGGGGGATCACACAGCTTTGCCCCAGCAGAACTGCTTKATTTTCCTCTTTTTCACTGCTTCATTCACCTCTTTCTCGCTACCTTATTTTCCTCCTTTTCACTGCCTTATTTTCCTCTTTTTCAATGCCTGATTCACCTCTTTTTCACGTTCTGCTTGGAAATACAGCACCAACAGGGCATGTGCTGCTGTTATTTTGGAASAGTCACTTCAGCAAACCATTTTTATTGATAGAAATGTAGTTTCTGTTACTGCATGGGATGGAGGTGTGTTGTTTACACCCATGTGTACTTCTACACCACTGTAACCACGCCAGCACAAAGGGATTTTTTTTTTTTTTTTAAATTGTGTTTCTGCTGTTTTATTGCTGTATTTATTTTTTTTATTTTTATCTAATTTTAACGGTTTAATTGTGGTTAGGTCATATTCAAACACCTATATTGCATGACTTTAGGGTTTTTTTGTCCCATAACTATTGATAATTGTATTCCTACTGTGTGCTTTTGAAACAGTTCCATTCTTTAACTTCACCCATATTTTAGACTCTACAAAAGTACCGTTTAGAAGGAGAACTTGGAAAGTAAGGCATATTTTCCTTGTGTTTTCATGCTTGTGTATATGGTTAAAAAAGTGCCAACAAACAAAGAGAAAAAKAGATTAAATAACAAAAAAATATTTTTCTTGAGCACAGACCTCCCTGGACTGAAAGGCACCAGAGAGGTTTAAATCACCCTGGTGATGTTCCCAGTGTAGGTGTTAAGGATTTGACCACAGCTCCTGGGGCAGCCCAGCTTTAAAGTTCCCCTCAGAAATGCCAATCCCATGCTCTCATTTTCCCAAGAAGCTTCCCACGGAGCATGGCTTCCAAAACCACAGCCAGCCAAGCAACGAGGGAAAACATCCCAGCAAACAAACCTCTCCTGTGCGCTGGGAGGGCAGCTGGAGCTGGCCTGGGAGCTGCAGAGAGCAGCCCAGCAGGACACTGCAAAGCCCAAATTGCTTGGCAGGGTTTGGTGCCAGCAGCMAGAGCCCAGATCCTCCAGCAGCCAGGGGCTCACTTGAAACAGAGACGCTGCCTCGTGGGATCAACCCAGGGCTGGCACGTTGGGCTCCTGGCAGGGAAACACAAACATCAGCCCTGGAGGAAAAAGGGAGCAGAAATTGGGGCGCTGGAAATGATGAGGCAGCTCAAGCCACCAGCATCTGCTGCTGCAGAGCTGCCCAGAGCAGTGAATGTTTGATTTGTTTAGCTGAGGGAAGAGCAGGGGGTGTCACCTGGAGGCATTCTGGGAGCAGGGACCGCTGATATCCATTCCCAGCRTTATTGCTGATTTGGCTGCAGCCCACGGTGGGTCAGTCCTTCTGCTCAATCATTTCAGTGCCTCAAAATGTCCTTTACCAGGAGGGCAATGGCACTTAAACCCCAGGAGCATCATTGTCCAGTGACCACCCAGCTGCTCCTCCAACACCAGGAGTCTGGGGAGTTGCTACAGCCCGAGTAAATTTATAATTAATAAAAAGAACAGCACTTCAGAAATTAAATTACTAATGAGAACAGGCCCTGCAGGAGGAGCACTCACCCCAAAGGGTTCAGGCAGAGCAGGGGGGACACATCTAATGCAGGATGGCAGCATCTCTGTAGCTCCAAAGCTGCTTCCTGCACAGGAGGACGAGAGGGACCCCTCTGCTCCCAGAGGAGGAATCGCTCGGAAAGGCCCCCGAGTGTCTCCTCAGCCTCCCCCGTTAAATCGCGCTCTCCCGTGACTTTCTCTCCTTACAGACTCTTTGTCTTCCATTGAGCCAGGCTCTGGACAGGATGTGATCCCGGGCTCCCCGCTGAGGAGCAGCATCAAGATCAAGCGAGGAGGACCCCGGCAGCCCCAGGCCCACCAGATCCTCTCCTCCCTGCTGGACGACGGCGAGGCCAGAAGGAGAAGCAACCGGATGAAGTAGGAGCGTCCTGGTGTTCCCCCTGCCTGCCCTCCAGTTACAGATACAGTACCCCAGGGCTGATTGCAGGCTGCAGGTGCAGTGGGTGCAATGCTGGGTTCCCTGGCAGTCTGAGCCCTGATTGCAGGGAATGCCTGATCCATAGCTCAGAGAGGGGCTGGAGAACCTTCTCCTCGATTTTGTTGTTTTGCCTTTGGAACAGTCAAGTGTCTCAGAGGTTGCCCACAGGACTGACACCTCCTGGCTGTGCCCTGAGAGTTCAACCCTTCCCTCGTTCCCTCACTGCCCACTCAGTAAAGCACTGCTTAACTGGCCATGACCATCCATCCCACCCAGAGCCAAAGCCAAGCCTCAGCCTTGCCCCCTGCTTTTATTTGCTGTGTCAGTGTCACCTGCTTTTATTCGATGTGTTGGTGTCACCCTGACTTCCAGGTGCTGCTTCCACACACCACAGAAACACGGCCTGCAAGGATTTCTCTCAAGCAAAGAACAAATTAGGAAATGCAAAGTGCATTTAAAAGTATTATTCTGGAAATTCAGGTGGCTCCCTGGATGTCAGCAACAAAATCTTGTCTTTTCACGTAGCTAATTGCATGGGGGTGACATTATTTCTATTTGTGGTTAGCTAAGCAAGGACTTTTGATGCAAATGTTCATTTGGCTTTCTGTCTATCTTCAGAGAGTTTAGACTGTTCCTGTGAAAATATAGAGCAGTTTGCAAAAGATATGACAGAATTGTGCAAGAATTTTCCCATACGGTKTTCAGCTTGTGCATACATCCAGAGATAATTAATTTAAGTGGTGGCAGCAACTATTCACAGAAAAGGATATTTTGCAATAGTTTCTTAATCCTACAGCSATCAGGAAAAATGTTTTCACAGTGTTTTGTTTTAATCTCGTGAGTAAATCCTCACCATTTGAAATCTGGAGACAGCAAACCACAGCCTAAGGAATTAAGAGTCTTGTCAGGAGCTTATCTTGCACTGGGAGTTAAACACAGAGTCATCTTATTTTTTGCAATAACTTGTTATTTTAGGGGAAGTACCAGCTTCCAGGTTTAAGAAGTTGAACCTGCCCTTCAGTGACAAATGAATCACTCCACCTGCTGTGCTAACCAGGTCGGGCAAGCTGATGTCATTCAGTGATTTTTGTTAGAAGGGGGAGATTAATCAACAGAGCTGACTGGACTGTTTTTGACTTTTTAATTCCCACGTTCTGACAGTTTTAGATTCAGCCCAGGATGATAGAGAGCCAAGTGAGTTGGTGTTGCTGTCCCCACGGTCCGTGGCTGCTGTGCAGGACACAGCTCTGTGTATGAGCAGGGAGGGCTGCACCACTCTGTGTTTCTGCCACATCTTTGCAAAGGAAGCTCTGCACAGTCCCAGCGTGCAGCACCCCAAATCATCTTCCCAAGGCAGAGCCCACTGGAAATGAGGYTAAAAATGGAGGAGCTCTGCCAGCCCAGCATGAGCCACACCTCAAAGTGTCTGTCCATGCACACTGCAAGCACAGCAGTGCTGCAGACACTCCCAATCCCAATCTCCTCTGAAGAGCCTGGCATTTTCACAAATGGGCAGGGTGCAGGCCTCCTTCAGGATGGCTGCACTCACTGTGTCCTCACCTGGCMCTGCTCTTCAGGAACTCCCCAGCCAGCTGAGATGGCATCAGCTGATGCTGAGCAAGCCCCAGAGCCTTGTTTTGGAATGAACAGCTGGATAACAAGCAGTCACTGGGATGCAAGACCTTGCCATGCTCTTGCATCCTCACTYTGCTTGCCCAGTGCCAGTGGTGGGGCTCGCTCAGCACCAGCCCACCTGGCTCAGGCTGTTTTCCTGAGTTTTCCACAGGACATTTCCAAGGAGCAAGCCCAAAGTTTCACAGGAATTTGGGGAGGTGCCTGCCTGCATTCTGAGTTACAGCTGGAGCAGGAGGGAGAGAGACAGATAAAGGAGTAAAACTTGAGTGCAGCAGGTTCCTGAGCTCAGGGAGCCATCCTGCACTTTGCAATCCCTCTGGGAGAAGGAAATAAAACCTCTCTGAATGCATCTGAGTTTCAAATCCAGCTCCAAGTCTAAATCAAGCTCTAAATCCAACACTAACTCCAAATCCAGCTCTAACTCTGAATGCAGCTCTAACTCTGAATCCAGCACTAACTCCAAATCCAGCTCTAATTACAAATCCAGCATTAACCCCAAATCCAGCMTCAACTCCAAACACAGCACTAACTCCAAATCCACCTCTCACTCCAAATCCAGCTCTAACCCTAAATCCAGAACTAACTCTAAATTCAGCACCAACCCCAAATCCAGCTCTAACTGTAAATCCRGCAYTAACCCCAAATCCAGCWCTAACYSYAAATCCAGCWCTAACCCCAAATCCAGCATTAACTCCAAATCCAGCACTAATTCTATCTAAGGATGTCTGTAGGGCTGTAAGAGCCCATGTCCCTCCATTATTCTGGGCACGGCCACTGATCTGTTTGCTGCATAATGCAACCTTGGGAACGTTCTTGGAATAATCTTTCCTTTCAGGAATTAAATGGGCCAAAAATCAGGTGTTTCCCCATTTGCAGGCTGATTCCTTAGTAGGAATTGAGAAGTACTTGGTTACTTCTGTGTTGAATTGAGGCTGTCTTGGTGTGGATCACATGGGCACTCCAAGACCTCGCTGGAAGCTTCCAGGACATCAGTCCTTGTGCCAGCCAGCTGGTGTTGGAAAAACCAGGCCTGAGGACTGAGGAGAAATCTCAGTTCAGTCTGAGCCCCTGGACTGGGCAGGCTGGTGCCAGTTGTAGTCGGTGGCACAGGAATGACGTGTCCTCATGGCAGCTCCAGGAGCCAAACCCAACCAAAGCAATCTTTAAAAAGGGAAATGGTGAAATCCAGTCTCCTGTAGCTGCAGGTTTGAATTTGGGGAAGAGGGAATACAACCAGGCCATTTTCACTTTCCTGACATTTCAGAGGCTYCGCACTAAACTGAAAGAGAAATCTTTCTTCCTCCAAGTTTGTGTTCTGGATTCAAAGCTATTGCATGATCTTGATGAGTGCTAATGCATCAGTCACTCACRTTGCTGAGGCGTTCGCACTGACAARGACTCTGAATTTTATATTATTTAAAACAAATTACTGACAAGATGAAAGGAAAATTTAATGGAAGTTGTTTGCAATTAATGCTGCCGAGTCAATTGTCAAAAGGCTGGTTAGGTTTGGGTTGAGACCACTTTAATTATTGATGTTTCCAGGTTTCTGTGTGAGCTATGTGAGTTTTTCTCCCCACACTCCTTGCTTTATTTAGCTCCATCTCTCTGATGAGGTACTGTATCTTTAACTGGAGGACAGTGGGATTATCCCAAATGGAATTTCTCTCTCTCTGCTGGGGTTTCATTCCCCTCCACTCACAGGAGGGCTGGACCACGCTGTTGWGGTTATTGTTGTGTGTTAATTGTGTTTGAAGGTGACACAGGCCCTCCCATGGACATTGATGATATTGGGGACTGAGACACCGCTCCAGCCACGTCATGCATCGTGGGCAGGATCCTGAGGTTCATTTCAGCCAGGCCATATAACGCTTCTTGCCATGTCTATGTAACTTAGGGGATTTATTTGGAATGCGTGCTCATTTAGAAATATATTTTAATTGAAATGTTTAGTGCTTTATCTTACATACATACTGTGCAATACCATAGTGTGTTCTTTCCTTTTTTTTTTTTTTTTTTTTTTTTTTTTTTTTTTTTTTTTTTTTTTTTTTTTTTTTTTTTTTTTTTTTTTTTTTTTTTTGAAATTCTTGATGTTTGTTTGAGCTCCCATGTGTTTTTGACTCAGATCTGCTCTGGTAGCAGCAGTGTTTTCCTTGCCCTGAGCTAACCAGAAGCAGCACATTGCACAACCAAAAACCCTTTGCAAGCCATGCACCCTCACATTCAGCAGCAACCTGGAGCTCCTGGGAGGCAGGGCATGTTCCTCTCCAGAGGGTTTCATTGCACTTACTGTATGGGATTGATAGCAACCCAGGGAAATAGGGATAAACCAGAGAGACGAGCCTTCCCCTGCTCCCACCAAACCCCATTTTGCCATCACCTTCCAAAGGAACAGCCTGAATWATCAGCTCCAGCCCTGGAGCAGCTCACGCTGCTGCTGTGTGTGGCTCTGTGAGGAGCTCCAGGCTCTGCCAGGAGCTGTTGCCGTGTGGGACCCTGAGTGCTGTGACAATCTGGAGACAATGGAAATGGCAGAACGTGGAATCCCCTCCCGATGCAGCGACTGGGAACCCATCCTCCTGCACGTTCACATCCTCTGTCTGGCTCAAGGTGACATTCCACTGGGGGTGTAGGGGTTAAACCACTCAGAGTCTCTGTGMTTTCTGGGTTTCCTGTCAAACCAAGGGATTCCAAGGTGCTATAATTGTTCACAGGGTGCATTCCCACCCATGGAAGGAAACGGGAATTTCTTCACCCATTATTTACACAGTACCCTTTTTATTTATATCGGTGTGTTTCCTATGTGTGCCAACGGTCCTGGCTTCTCTCCTGGGATGAGCTTTACAACYATTTGGTCTTTTATAGGGCAGCCATCGGCAGGATCTCGCCATCAYGTGTAATTTCTTAACTTAGAGCAGGAATAAATCTCGTTCGACAGGATGAACTCATTTATGGCAGGCTTCGATGTTTGTTGTAAACACAACCTGTTTGTTCCACCTCTTGCATGGTTACTTTTCTGTTTTCATATTGCTATGTTATTGTTCGAGGTATCTATTTCTCTTTATTTGCTATGGGGTTTGTTACTGTATATGGAACGTTTTGTATTCAGCATTTTCTTACGGAGCAGAGTGGGATCAGTATTCAAGGGCCCACAAATACCAAAGACCTTTCATGTAATGCACTGAGAAATAAACTTACTGTAAATGAGTATTGGTCAGGTGTCCTCCAGTTACCGAGTTCAGAGGGAGTTTGAGCAAACTGCAGCACATCCCAAACACAGGGACACAT